TTTATATTCGATTTTTAAAGTAAATTCTATATAAGAATTAGTATAAAGCTTAAGCTTTCTATAGCTAATTACTTCCAAATAAATAAATAAACAGAGATTATTAATTAGTACTTTAATTAGAGATTATATCTATATATTAATTACTACTAAGATAACTAGAATAAATAAGTTACTATAATTAATTATTAATAAGCCTCTCTTTAGTATAAAACTATTAGCTAGTTCTTATTTATAACTAAAAAGAGCTATAAGCCTTATATTTCTCTGAACTAGAACTTCCTTATTAAAGCTAACTTATTCAAGGAAAAGCTAAATAGAAATAAAGCTAAAGTATTAATAAATTAATTATATAAATTAGAGTAACTTATCTAGGGCTATATAGAATAAGTATAGGAATAATATATAGTATAAGCTAATAAGTACTACTATCTAATTAATTTCAAAGTCGGGAATAAAGTATAGGTTACTATAAAGTACTAGAAATTCGATTATCCAAGCCGGAAGCTAGGGAACCAAATAGAGGGCCTATTTAAGATTCTAGAATAATATAGCTATTTATTTCTCCTGAAACTGCCAGAAACCATAAAGATATACCCAGTTTTCTATATAGAGAAGCTATAAAAAGACCCCCAGAATTCTCTGCCAGGTCAAGCAAATCCGGAACCGCCCCTATTAATACTAGAGGATAGCAAATAAGAGTATGGTATTAAACGGGTTATTATAGTCAAGCTAGTAAGAAATAGATTAAAGTATAGAATTCAGTAGGTTAGTTAAAATAAAGATCTAGTATAGTATCTAGCTTCAGTATTAAGCAATAGCCCCCCGGTTTTATAGAGCTTTCATAATAATAATATTAACATACCAGGACCTCTATAAAACCTGTAATACTGGCTAGACTATATAAAAAATAATACTTGTCCAGAACTATACGGAAATAATAATAAACCCTCCTAGGTTATATGGCAAAGGCGCCAGCCTTTCATACGTGACGTCTATATCCGAGATACTAGTTTCACTTTGGGAAAGAGCATAGTACGAAATTAGATAGATCAACGGCTTTTACGAAGCTCCGGGACGAGCTTATTACGAAGGAGGAAGTAATATTATGATTCCCAGATGCCCGGCATCTAAGATGCCTCTCCAGATGCCAGATGCCTCCTAGGCGCACGTAATACGGCCGCCTTGCTAGGGAAGTATGCTTGGAATGCACTAGAGATATTTAGAAGGCTAAGCCCCTTCGGGACTAGCGTACTATGGGGTGTATATACTCCCTCGCAGCCTCCTGTATTCTAGTTTTCCCTTCCTTAGCTTTGAATCGTCTTTATAAGGGACCTTCTACCTTGCTTTCCAAGCCCTGAATGCCGTACCCGTGACAATACTTGTATTAAAAAATCTAACTTAAGGGCTTTAAGGAGCTTAAGTAATTAATTGCCGACTTGTTATTAATACCCCGGCTCTCAATCAATACCCCTAATTGAAACCCGGCGGGCTGTCGTTTTATACTTTCCCGGTTTGCTAATAACGGGGCATGCCTTAGTAATAGCGTTACTAGTACAGGCGTCAAGCTGAGACAGTGTGTCAAATAAATAGAGGAAAATAGAATAATAGCCATTACTCTTATTTTAGTCAAGTATAAACCCGTTACTCTTATTTTATTCATATATTATTCAAGTTATTTATGAATATTTATGAATAACCTGAATAACGTACGTGATCTATGCACGTGATAGAGCTAGCCTAGTCAGGTAAGGCTCCGGGAGGGCACGCACCTAGCGCTACCTCGCTACTCAATCAGGTAGTAATGGCGCTTGGTAAGCGAATCGAACCTTAGTAATACTTCTAATTTATTATTATAGAAAATTAGTATTTAAGTGCCCTTATATAAGTACTAGCTTAGCTTATATAAGGCTGCTTAATAGGTATCTTAGTTCTTTTTTAAAAATTTAAATATATATTAATTTATTGTAACTACGTGACTTATATGTGGTTATTCATGGTTATGCATGGTTATTCATGGTTATTCATGAATAATTATTCTATTTTACTTAACTTATTTAAGCTACTCGTTACTCATATTTTATTCAAGTTATTCATGAATATTCATGAATAACTTGAATAATCCTTTGACACACTGAGCGGAGACTTGGCGTGCAAAGTTGCATCTTACTGCAATCTACCTTATGCAGAACAACCTAGGTCCTTAAGTCGTAAGTATAGATTTCGCCCTTTAGAAAGCCTCAAAATTGCCTTGTTCTAATAAATCCTTTCGCTAGACAAACATCGCCATTACGACTTTTGATCATGGATTTAAATTGTCGAGTCATAAGCTCTATGGCCAACCTGTTTCTCGCCGCACCCATAGACATGGAGAAATACATGACGCTATACAAGCACTTCCATGAGCACCCCGAGCTCTCGAATCTTGAGGCTAACACTGCAAAAATGATTGCAGTCCAACTATCGAGTCTCCAAGCTTTCAACATCACCACCAACATTGGCGGCCATGGAGTCGTCGGCGTGCTGAAGAATGGCCCAGGGAAGACCATCCTCCTATGCGCCGACATGGACGCTCTTCCAATCTTGGAAGCAACCGGCCTTCCCTACTCCAGCAAAGTTACCATGCTCGACGCCGAAGGCGTCATGCGGCCAGTGATGCATGCGTGCGGCCATGACATGCACATGACGTGTCTCCTCGCGGCAGCTGAAACGCTTCTCAAGCTGAAGCAAATGTGGAGCGGTACGTTAATTGTGCTGTTCCAGCCTGCAGAGGAGCCTGGCACCGGCGCGAAGGCGATGGTAGATGATGGCCTGTATGACAAGCACAAGATCCCCGTGCCCGACTATGTACTCGGTCAGCATGTGATGGCCACGCGGGCAGGGAGTGTGGGGTCGAAGATGGGAACGATCATGGCGGGGGCGGATAGTATGAAAATTACACTGTTCAGGGTTGGTGGTCACGGGTCGCAGGTGGGTGGATAAATACTACACAGTATCAGGATCTATTGCATCCAAGAGCTGACCTGGGATATACAGCCACATCGGACGATTGACCCTGCTGTCATGGCGGCTCACGTTGTAGTACGCCTTCAGACCCTCATCAGTAGAGAGATCAACCCAAGCGATACTTCCGTTCTGACAGTCGGGAGCTTGCAAGCCGGTCAGACAGAGAACATCATCGCAGACTCGGCAGAAATTGGCGTCGACACACGCAGCGTGCGACCGGAAACGCGCGAGAAGCTTCTGGCCTCAATACGGCGGATTATCAAGGCTGAATGCGAAGCCAGCGGTTCCACGGTCGCACCCATATTCAAAATGACTCGGCACCTACCAAACACAGTGAATGACGAGTCGATGATGAGAACGCTAGTGAAGAGCTTTAGTGAGTATTTTGAAAACGACTTTGATGCAAATATACCGACTACTACCATTTCGGAGGACTTTTCGGTCCTCGCAACATCGCAGGGCCGGCCGTGTGCATCCTGGCATTGGGGAGGAATAGAGGAGGGGCTGTGGGATCAGAGGCTGAAGGAGGGGAGAATTGATGATATTCCCGCGAATCATACGGCGAGATTTGCGCCGGTGATACAACCTACGATGCAAACGGGTATTCATGCTCTCTGCGTTGCTGCTCTTGCTTTCTTTGACGACAAGTTACAACATAAACTATAAAACGACCGCAGCCGCGCCAATGTAAGATTATATCGATTTTCCCCTCTTTCCATGCCTGCGTCACCGCCACTGAAAACCCTCATCAGTGCTCTATTTTGAGACCTAGCTTCTGAATCAATTGAACACCTCGCTTCCGAAATTGTGTTTTATCCAGGTCAAGAAAAAAAGGGGGGGGGGTTGACCCGGCAACTATGGCTGCGTATTAGCCACTCCTGTCTGTCCCTAAAGTGCAACATTCTACGAAAAGCTTCAAGAGTGGTCTTGTCTACTAAAACCCTATATTTTCGCCGAATATTTCATCCGATTATGAGTGACAATTCACCAATAAGTAATTTTTTCCTGGGCAGCGAATACCCACTCTCCGATAGGGAAAGCACAGACGGGCAAACCTCAAACTAGTTTTAGATTCGGAGCACCACAATTACGAGTAGACTGGTTTGAAGCATTAGACCTCGAAGTAATTGCGTCTAAAGTATAACACCTTAGCATACTTCAAGAGAGCTTATATGACTTGTTCATGGTTCAAGACAAAGATACGAATCTTGGCTGGCGATTAGCCCAGGCGCAGCTCAGTCAGCACGTGCACGTTCGATGGAAAATGCAGTTGGCGAAAGTATAATATCCCTAAAGTCACATATCCTCTAACGTAAGGAAAGTTTTCTCCTAGAGATTCTACTACAATCCTGCTTTGCGTCTTGGTACGAAATCTTGGCAGCAACTCGCACATTAACGCTCAACCCTTAAAGGGCAGTCAATCGAGACCCGAGCTAATCCGTCAGAGGTGGGATTCCGGGTAGAAAAGGCCGAGGTGGAGGGAGTAGAGGGCATGTCTTGGACCCTGGTTGGGAAACAAGAAATGAACTTTGACCCTTAGCGAAGGGGGCATCAGGTGGTGGCTGTCGACCGTAGAGGTGTAAATAAGTCTACCTCTCGGACCAATGCTAGCAAGTCTTAATAGATTGGTGCCTTCAAAGGTGCTGTGGGCGAATAAATTTTGGAATTCTTATTAAGTTGACAGAAGTATTTGGTAGTTGTTCAAACCTGTAAAGTGCCGTGTGCAGAAATTAAGCATTCGAACTGAAACAATAACATCCAGGTCTTTCCTCCGCATCACCTTTTCAGGATCATTGGGTCAAATTGAAGAATGTCATTGAAGAGAAATATTCAATGTATAATGAGGCTTTGAACCAGCTAACATTTCTGGTGTTGCTGTGACTCATGCCGGCAAGCATTCTGTGGGGGCTGAGTTCAGCCACCCTGGGTAATGACGATGATTTTATCTCCTCTTAGCCCCAGTTCAATTTCTGCTCTTCCAAATCGCCCTTCCAGAACGAGCAACCCATAACTCGATTCCACTTTAAATCACACCGATAACCGAAAATGTCAACCCAACTATCTCCAGCCCTCTCAACCTTTCCACTCCTGTCAATCTCCCCACCGCGTTCAATCTTCCTCGTTTCGAGACTCCTAACACCCGAAGAATGTACCAAGATAATCGCTTCGTACACAAATCTTGTGCCCTCAAACGTAACACCCGCCACCGTCCGCGACCGAGAAGTATTCTCGGACCTTGCACTTGCATCGCTACTCTGGTCGCGCATCTCACCTTTCTTTCAAGGAAAAAAAGCTGTTGATGAAGATGGCGAGATATGGAACGTGAGGGGATTGAATGAGACATTCAGATTATGTCGGTACGTGCAAGGTAAGCACATACCTCCTTCTCTTCCCTCGAGGTAGTCGAAGCAAGCTAAACGAAGGAAGGGGGTAAATTCTCGCCGCACACCGATGGCAGAAGACTTGAGTCGGTGAATGACCAAAGTTTCATGACGATTAATATCTACCTGAAGACTGTTCCCGAGTCCCACGGAGGCGCCACACGCTTCCTTTCGCCCAGCAAAGAAGTGATCTACAAAGTCCAGCCTCAACTCGGACAAGCAGCACTCTTCCGAGGTGATGTTTGGCATGATGGTGAGGAGCTGAGCGAAGGGATTAAGTACTTGCTGAGGACGGATGTCATGTATGTCCGAGACAAGGACTTCGATTTTGAGACTTTGTATGGTAGACAGGATGACGAGGTGAAGGGCAGGAAAGCGTTGAGTATTGCGGAAGGATTGGAGGACGCGGGGAAAGGAGGAGAAGCGGTGCGATGGTATAAAAAGGCTTTTGGTTTGTTGCCAGCGTTGGAAGGTTAGTGTATGAAAGAAGGATTTATGAATAAAGTTACCCGAATTTTGTTGTTGTTCTGCCAAAAGTCCATTGGGAGTTGCTGGAAGATAGGCCTACCTAGTTATAAACGCATATAATATTAAAATTTGTTTATTTTTATTAAATACTTAAAGAACTACTTTTTCTAATATACTTTACTAATATTAATTAATTATATAATAAGAAAATATATTACAAAATATTAATAAAGCTTGCGAAATTAGTTATTACAAATATTATTATTAATATATAAATTTGCTATAATAAATAAAACTTTTTTTCTTATAATATAGAAGCAAATAAGCCAATTTAATAAAAACAAAATAATAAAGCTATTAAAAGAATTATAATTAAGAAAATAACTAAGTTAATAAAGCTTATATATTAAATAGAATATAAAGAAAAAAAGCTCTAATATATTATTATAATATAAAATAAATATATTATAAATTTATAACTTTTATTAAATAGAATAAAAAAAAGCTAAGATATATAAATATTTAAAAAGTTTAATAATACGAGATTACTTTATTTAAAAGAAAATTAATAGCTAAAAAAGTAATAAAAAATTATTTTCTTTAATTAAGGAAATATTATTATTTTAATAAAATATAATATATAAAGCATTATATAAGTATTTAATAAAAACAAATATTATTTAAATTATATTAAATAATAATTTATATATATTTTATATTTATTATAAGAGAATAAAGTAGTAAAAGCAAGTAAATTAAATTAAAATAAACTAGATAAATAAAGAGAAAATTAAAGTAATATATTAAATAGCTTTTTAAAAAAAAATTAATAAAAAAAAGTAAAATTAAAAAATTAAAAAATAATTACAAAATAAGAAAAAGTTTATTTTATAATAATTTTAATAATTTATATTATATATATATAAAGTTTTTAAGTTATTATTTATAATTAGTATAGCTATTTCTTTGGGAGTTATATATATAGTTACGGAATACGGGATACGGGATATAGGTAATAGAATATGGGATATGAGACATGGTTATATAACCTTGTATCCTATTAGTAACTCGACTAGTAGACTAGACTCCTTTAGGCTTAGCAGATTTAGGGATTATATATTAATACTATAATACTATAATCCCTATTTCTGAATAATAATAACTTTACTAACTAATATAACTAGTATTTTCACGCCTATATAATAGTACTATATATTATTAGTAAACTAATACTAATTAGTTAATACTTATAAATTAGAGGAAAACCTAGCTAGTTAGAAAAGTATTTAGTAGCCTAAGATAAGTAGTTTATTTCTAGTTAAAGAGAGGAACTATTATTAATTCCGGAAAAGTATTCGGTAGCTTAAGAAAAAGATACTAGCTCTTACTAATTAATAAGCAGTTAGCCATTTGACTATTATCTATCTATTTAACTTCTATTATTCTTTAAAACTAACTTCTTTTAGCCCTAAGACTATCTTCTTGGAAATTATTCTTTTTACTTATATAATACCCGTATTTATAGAACTCTCTTTCCGGAATATATATCCTATATATATCCTTAAAGCTCTTTAACTACTACTTCGATTTTATTATTAAATTGAGTTCTTTAAGCTTTAGATCCTCCCGGAATCGTAATATTTCACTTCCTAAATTTCTTATTATAGACGAAATATTTAAGGGCGAAATATTTACTTTAATATACTATCAGGCATCTGGGTATCTGGTATCTGAACCAGGTATCTGATATTTCAATAACCAGGCATCTGAACTGGGTATCTGGTATCTATACCAGGTATCTAAACTCTTTCTACAAACCTACTACGAACTACCTTACTTTCGAATACCTCTTACTATAAACCATACATATATACTAGGAAGAGACTGAATTTGGTTTAGTATAAATAATGAAAAGGGAAAGAAGCTAATTAAGAAATAGGAGAATAGGATTAATACTAATAATACTATAAACGCAGATTTTCGGGAATATCTAAATACTAAGCTATATTAGTATACCTTATATAGAACTTCTAATAAGAACCTATAGGATCTATTTAAGAATAACTTTAAGAACTTTAGTAATATAACCTTTAATTAATATAGCTATACTAAACTATAAATTCTTCGAAAATACCTTTAATATAGTAGTATTTATATTAAATAGAACTATATATACCTTATTATAGTATAGTTCCTACTAGATATTATTTGGAAGGAAATAATATATATTTAATATAAAGCTAATATTATTAAAGATAGTCTAATTAAAACAGATCTTCTAAAGAAACCTATTATATTAGTTTATCTTATTCTAGAGAGAACTAGACAGAAGAGAACCAAGCATTCTCGGTTAACTAGCTAGTTAAACCAAGGCATCTATCTACTTTCTTTAAATTAAGATTATTTACTACTTTTACTTTTATTACTATTACTAGATCTACTATACCTAAAAGACCCTTAGTTAATTCCTATTACTACTACTAGAAAGCTTATTAGGGAAGTAGTAAAGATATATTTTGAGATATAGAAATATAATAGAACTAATAGTAGTTTTAATTATAAACTTACTATTTTTCTTAATATTTATTAATATATTAAGTTTTTAGAAAAAGTATTAGTAAGAGCTTTTCCTATTATATTAAAGGAACTAGTATAAGACTACTTCTATAATAACTAGCTCTCTTAATAAATATATAAAGAAGCCTATATAAATATTTATAGTTTTTTTTAAAAGCCCTAGTTACTATTATTAAAATTTAAATAAATAAAATACTATTACCTTAGTAACTATAATAATAAAAGACCTAAAAAGATAATATTCGAGCTTGTCTAAATACTAATTAATAACTTATATAAATTATAATATAGCCTTATTTCTATTTTAAGAAATACCGAATTCCTATATAATAAGATTATTATTTCTTATTAAGACTTACTAGTATACTAATATATAGTTTCGGACTCTCCTAATAAACTCGGCTAGCTTATTAATAAGCTCTAATTATCTATTATTACCTATAAAAAAAAGTAATAAATTAATACTAAAACCTATTTTACTAATTAATAATATTATTTTCAAAACTTTTTAAGCTATTATTTATCCGGAAATTATTAATATAAATCTAGCTATAACTTCGGAACCTATAATAACTATTTTAAGTCCCGTAATTATAATAATTATATTCCGAAGTTGTATTTTATATATAAGAGACCCGAATACTACTTATAGAAGTATATACTAGAGAAATAAGAAGCTAAAAAGGCTTGATTTAAGAATAGAAATATTTATTAATTTAGATCTCGAAATACCTATAACTTTAATAAATACTTTAATAGTATTTATATATAGTATGTTACTAAATTTAAAAAAGAAGAAAATAATAAGAATAATAAGAATAAACTAGTAAGTAATGCTTTTAAAGCCTTACTAGTAGAAATATTATTCTAATTTCTATTTTATTTTTATTAAGAGCTTTCCAGTTATTTCTATAAATCCTATTTCTATTATTCCTATAACTAATACTTTTATAAATAACCTTATTTCTCTTTCTTTTATATACTAGATAATAAATAAAAATTATATCTTAGAGCCTACTAAATAAATAGAAAATATTTAGATATTTATAATTAATAATATATTAAGATATAATACTTATTACTTTTATAGAATTATAATTAATACCGGAGCCTCTAGATTCTTAATTACTAGTTCTAACTAATTCCAAGCTTTATAGTAAACTAATAATAGTATTAAACTTAATAAAATTACTAAGAATTAAATTAATATCTAGTTTAGTATTAGATCTATATTCTCTATTAGATTTATAATAATAAGAATACTAATTAGACAAGTATAATTCTATATTATATTTATAAAAACTTTATTTCTATTTAGCTTAGCTAATATAAATAAGCTAGAGATCTATTTTAATAATCTTACTAATTATCTTATTACTTTTACTAGATACTTTATACTTATAATATAATATTTTGAATACTTTTTCTTGCTTTAGAATACTATTCTATAAAGCTTTATTTCCGAATTCTTTACTTATAATTCCTATTTTTTTTATAGAGATTAAATTATAATATTTATATTATTATTTCAGTTATTTATTTATTAGTAAACTCTGAAATATACTAGAATAAGCAAGCTATAATATTAATATAAAATACTATAAATAATACTAGAAATTCGGATAATTACTAGAATAATTCAAGTTTAATCTAAGAAATAATATTAGCTTTAATTATTCTATTATTATTAATATTTTCTATATTTCCGGTAAGCCTATATTTTATATTATTAATAAAGGCACTTAATATTAAGCTAGCTAGTAGCTTTAAAATATTAGTATATTATATACTTAGGATATTCTAAAGTAATATTAGATTAATATCTATTTAGGCCTTTCTAATTAGATTATAGTAAATACTAGAAAGTAGTTTATTAATAAGAAGTTTACTTAGCTTATAAATACTATAGGAACTAAGGTTAAAATCATTTTTATAAAAGCTTATAATTCTGTTAGAATTATAAAATACTATTATAGCCTGATTTAATATATTTACCTTATTATTATAGCCGAAATTAATAGAATTAATAAGAATACTATATTTTAAATAGCTTTTAAGGCTATTAATAATTCTGCTAGACCTAATAGTATTATTCTAATTCTCTTAATTTATAGTATTTTACCTTGAATAACTAAATATAATACTCTATTACTAATTATATTATAGTAATTAGTAGTACTTAAGAAAGTAATAATAGAAATTCAGAAGCTTTAAGCTAGATACCAGATTATAAATACCCTAAATACCTGAAATAGTTCTAGTATTACTAATATCTATAAACTTCTCTTAAATTCGAATATTCTTATATAATATAAAGAAAATACTAGTTAATCTAGTAATTAGAATAGGCTATATAAACTAGTAGCTATTAATAGGGAGAACTATATACTAGCTCTATTATATAGTAATATTACCTTTTACTTAACTTTTATAAAGCTCTTTTATATAGGAAATATTAAAGTTATTACTAATGGCCCTAAACCTAAACCTGTTTCTAAACTTTATAGTAAGACTAAAAATAATATAAATATAATTTCTCTTATTATTCCCGCTATTTTACTAAAGTATAATAGAGAATGCCTTTATAAGAACCCGGATATTATAATATTTCTATAGGATAATAACTTATATAAGAACTCTTATTAAGTTGAAATTACTAGCCTTTTAGAAAAAAAAAATATTTAAGGTTATTTCTAGATCTTAAATATTAAAAGAGATATATATCTTTAAATCTCGGTTTATTAATAAGATTAAGAAGTCGAGACTAGTTATTTAAACTTATAATAATAATAAGAAATATATAATATTAATATAATTACTTATTATTTAATATATTAGCCAGAGAATTATTCTTAGTATTACTATTATAATAATAGATATTATAGAGCTATATTTATATAATATCTTATAAGCTTATATCTAATTAATAATCTTATTTAATTATAATTTTTATATTAACTTACTTTATAAGCTTACTAGAAAACTAAATCTAAATAATAATTTGGTTCTAAAAATTATAAAACTATTATATAATATATTAGAGGCTAGGAATTACTAGTTTAAAACTTATTATTTCTATTATATTAATAAGCTTTCTATAGAATAGTGTGGGAGGGAAGCTGCGACAAGACAAAAACCCATATAAAGTATACCAGAGCGCAAAACGTGACTTGATAGCAAAACAATAAATCAAAAGCGTAAACAGTAAAGCATAAACAGTGTGCAGTGTGCAAAAGCTCAAATTAATTAAATACTCATAAAGGATTGTTCTCTAAGTCTACAGAAAAACCAGCTTTCTTATGTGATTTCCGCAAGTCACGTGCAAAAGGCCGCGGCCTTTGCCATGTGACCTAAACCTCAAAACCGCCAAAACAATACGATTTTCGACGAGTACGGCCTGCCATACCACAATAGTTAATTTATAACTCTTGCCTTTTCTATAGTAAGTAATTCTTCGGAATTATTAGCCTTTAAATTAATAATACCTTATTTATTAAAACTAATAATTTTATAAAAGTAGAATAACTAAAGCTTTATAAGGCTAAGTTCTTAACTAAAAAGTATAAATGCCTTATTTCTAATTATAATTTCAAGTTTAATAGAGGTATTATTTATATAAATATTACTAGAAATACTTTTATATAGGAATACTAATATAAAAACCTCTGAATTATTTCTATAAAGAATATTACTATTATAAGTAATAGAAGTACTATTTATTAAGATCTTTTTATTAAGAACTAATATACTACCTAATATATTAGAGAAGTATATATTATATTAGTCTATTAACTAGAAGCTTTATATAATCTATTAATTATAACTCAAGCTATTAAATTCTTAGAAACTAATATAAAGGCACTTAATAAGTATATTTAATAGTAAATTGAGAATATTACTAGAGAACTGAAATTTATAAAGCTAGTAAAGAAGTTCTTATATTTAATTGCTTTTATAAATGCTTTATTATAAATAATAGAAATCTCTTTTTCTAAATCGGATATATTCTAGTTCTAGTAAACGGAACTAGATATACTAATATTATTTACTAGTTCTCTACTAAATATAAGAGAGTTACCAGAAGCGTTTTAGCTTTAGAACTCTATAATATGGCTTATGGCTTTAATATAGGTACTTTAATTAAATCTTTAATTAATAGAATACTAGAAATAGAACTATTACTAGTAGTCTATACGGATTCGAAATCGTTATATAAATGCCTTATTAAATTGAGAATTACTCGAGAAAAGTATCTAATAATTAATATAATATATCTTTACTAGATATATAAATAATAAGAGATTATAGAAGTTAAATAAATTAAGAGAGAATTAAATCCTGCCGATTCTATAATGAAATCGAGGCTAATAAATGCCCTTAAGTACCTAATTAATACGAATACTATATAATTAGATATAGAGAAATAGATTAAGTATAAATAAAGCAGGAAATAAATATATGAAATAGGAAAATATTATAGGAAGAGAAGTTATATAGAAAAGGTTATAGCCTTTAGTATATAACTAAAACCTTAGACGTAATATAGATATATAAAGTATTTAGGAAATCTGATACTAGGCCGGATTAGAGAATTTGTATATAATTAGAGAGAGGTATTATTTTTCGCGTTTTTTAGAAAGTTTCTAGTATTAGTATAATTATTTCTTTGAAAGTTATATATATAGTTACGAGATATAGGATATGAGATATAAGTAATAAGATATGAGATACGGGATATAGTTATATAACTTTATATTCTATTAGTAACTCGACTAATAGACTAGATTCCTTTAGGCTTAATAGATTTAGGAATTATATATTAATACTATAATACTATAATCTCTATTTCTGAATAATAATAACTTTACTAACTAATATAACTAGTATTTCTATATTTATATAATAGTACTATATATTATTAGTAAACCGATATTTATTTATTTTTAAAAGAAACTTATAATTTAATACTTTTAAATATAACTAGATTTCTTTTTATTTTTAATAAAATATAATTTCCTTATATATTAGTAAATTAATATAATAAGAATTTTTAAAAAAATCTTTTTTAAAATATAATAGAAAATGGAAAATATTATTAAAAATTATAATTATAAAATAATAAAACAAATAAAAGAGGTTTCTATAAAAGATAATAAAAGCTTTTATTATTAAAATTTAAAAGAAAAGAAATTTTATAATTAATACTTTAGTTTAAATATAGAAATATATAATAAAATAAGTTTTTTTAATATTTATATTTATTTATATAACTAATAATTTTTTTTAATATTATATATATTTATAATAAATATTTATAAAATATTAATATTTCTTTTAAATTTTTTTAAGTTCTTAAACTTTATTTATATTTAAAAGCTTTAGTTATTACTTATATTAAATATAATAGTTATAAAAATAAGTATTTAAAACAGATTTATTTTGTATTTATTTCTTTTTTAATTAGATTTCTAATTTATTTATATAAAAATAATTTAAATTAAAAATTCTTTTAAGTTTTTAAACTTTAATATAATATAATATAATTAATTTAAGCTATATAGTTTTTATTTAAAATAAGTAATTAAAAGGTTATTAAGAAAAAGAAATATAAGAATTATAAAACTAGAAAATTGCCCTTTTTATCTTTTCTTAAATAACTTTACTATTATTTATTTAAAGTAAAGCTATTAGATTTAATTTAATTATAATATATTAAACTTTAATATTTTAAGAACTTTTATAATTTAGATAATATTTGGTATTATAATTAAAAGGCTATAAAAGCGTGATTTTATTCCAGATACAATTTTTATAAAAAGCTATAAAAATTAATTATTTAAACAATTTTCGAATTATGTTTTCGACTCTTAATATCTGATTTATAATATATATTTACTCTATTAAAAATAGCAAATACTCATATATTATACCTATATATTATACTTTCTTTTCCTATACTTCTATTATTACTTTAAATATTTCCTCTCTTTAATTCTTCTTACTCTATTTATAAGTATAAGAGTAAGAGAGGAGAAAAGGAGAAAGGGGAAAAGAGAGAGGAGAGAGGATAAAAGGGCAGGGCAAGAGAACCTTACTAAAAATTAATATTATAAAGCACTAAATTTTTAGTATTTATAGCCCTAAAATTAGTAATAAGTAGCCTATAATTATAAAGCTTTCTTTTTCTTATGAGTCGTATGCCTTAAAGCTCACTTTTTGCTTTCCACTTTTCACTTTTCACTCGCCCTTTACCTCTCCCCCCTACCCCCATCCCCATCTACCCCTCACCTCTCACCCCTCTCTCGTATATATATAAATAAGAATTAAAAAGAGAGTAATATTTTAAGTAGTAATAATAAGTAGAGGCATAGGAAGAGGGGGCATAATATATAGGCAATTTTTAATAGGGTACGCACGTGCCACAAGTCGGACATCAAAAGTCGAAAACCGGATTCGAAAATCGCTTGGACGATTGATCCTTACGGCTTTCCGTAGGTTTTGCTGTTCTCGCTAAAAATCGATTTTAAAGCTAGTTTCGCCTACCGCTTGTATCCAAAGGCTTATGCCGACTGGCTGTGCCATGTACCTTCGACGGTATACTGCCGGCTCTAATTCTTGAAAAGAACGACGATTTTCTCTCCCGACAGCTCTCCGGCCCTGACAACCTCCATCGATTGCTTCACCTGCTCAAATCCACCCTGTACCACACGCAAAGGGTGATGATGCAGTTTGCCCTCCTCGACGAGCCTTCCGGCAACGCGCCAGAGCAAAGCACCAAACTCACGCTCCTCATCTGAGCCCTCACGCCCGTAGGGTGCAGGCCAGGTCGAGCCCTCCCCGAAAATGGTTGGGCCAAGAGTCCAATCGGTGGTCACCATCTTCCGCGTAGCTGCGTGCTCAGGAAACGGGTTGAGGGACACGTATCGCCCCCCGGCGCGGCTGATGGCCTTGAAACATACCGTTGTGGATTCCACGTTTGTGATGCAGTCCAGTGCATATCGGAGGTTGTTTTTGGTGTAGGCGCGCTAACGAGAAAGTTGGTGTCAGCTGGAGCGTCGCCATCTGGGTACTCGTAGGAACCCGAAATACTTACAATCTTCTCCGCACATTGTGCATCACGATAGTCAAACACCTCTTGAGCGCCACTTTCCTTCGCCAGGCCAAAGTTGTGAGGTGAGCAAGTCGCGATGGGAACGTAGCCAGACCTGAATACCGTGTGTCAGACACATTCTAACTCCAAGGGAGTGCCGCTGATGATCCGAGCGCACGTGACGCCACTTTCGGTGAAGACCAAGCACAATACTGACGGCAATAGTGAGAAAATGATTGGGTTTTGCGACGTACTCTCTCAAGAACTGCATTGTGATAGTGGCCGTAGCCGTGCTCCCGCCGTACACAAGGACATATGTCGTCTTGCTAGGCTTAGCATCGCTTGTGTACGGCAATGGAATGTCAAGCAGCTTCAAAGCCAGGCCAGCCGTGCTGATGCCCGCAGGCAACGCAGCGGCAGCCTCCGCGGTCCAGCTGTCAGGTACCTTAGCCCAGATCCGTCCACGCGTAATCGTATACTGGGCGAAGGCCCCCTGGTCGGGCGTGCGAGGGCACATCTCGTTCTGGGCTCCGTAAACCCGGTCGCCCACCTTGATGTGCGTAATCTCGGAGCCAACCGCGACCACCGTCCCACAGTAGTCGGTGCCCAGGAAGGCCCACGGCGTGGCGAAGTTGCCTCGCATCTTGGTATCGCTAGGGTTAAGCGCGACGGCCTCGACGCGGACGTAGACCTGATCTACGGGCAGCTTTGGGCATGGCGCGTCATCCCAGATTATCACCTCATCGTGGTCGTTGACTGTCAAAGCCCTCTGTTTCAGAGGCGGCGTGAAGGTGGATGTGGTCTCGGTGGCTAGGCTGCCCATTGTGACTGTTGTGGGGGGGTTGGAAGCTGTGCTGTGTAATTCGACCTTTTATCTATCCTTGACTGCATCACATGTATAATGTACCGAATGATTCGAAGGACCTCGTTTAAACTTTTCTAGATAATGCAGATGCCCACGGCGTTTCTCGGTGATTAGAAAATGCCGAAAGTCAGCATGTAAAAGGTTTCATGATTATGGCAAAGATCAACCACGGGCAACGATAACAGGTTATCTTCATTAACTTAGAAAATCGGTTCTAAAACGGAGCGGAGCTCCGTCCCCGCTGAGTCTGTTGCCAGTATGATTGAGCCCTCTTGGCCCTCTTCTTCTCCTTGATCGCGAGGTATGTATCACCCTCAACCCTGGTTTTTTTTTTTTCTTTCTTTTTTTTCTTTTCGCAGTCTAACAATATCAGGATAATTCCAGTAAACAAAATCCACGAAAGACGTCATGGGCGTTGTAAGGCCTCAACTCACGGCGCCGCCCAAAGCCCCCAAGGCGCTTCTGTGCATTCATGGGGCCGGAGGTTCAGCAACCATATTTCGCGTCCAGACGGCCAAACTCCGCATGGCATTAAGACACGAGTTTGAATTCGTCTATGCCACTGCCCCCTTCATATCCAAGCCCGGCCCGGGTGTACTGCCGCTGTTTCAAGGCATGGGCCCTTACTACTCCTGGTTTAAGAAGGACGACAGCGACAAAAACATCAGAGTGAACCCATTGGAAAACGTAGAGAATTCCAGCGCCAACGCGTCGGTGGGCGAGCGGCTCTTGGCCGTGAACACGCCCGTGCAGAAGGTTATCGAAGACTGGCAGAAAAATAACCCGCAGACACCCATCGTCGGCGTGCTCGCCTTCTCCGAGGGCGCATTGGTAGCTACATTGCTGATATGGCAGCAGCAGATGGGAAGGCTACCATGGTTCCCAAATATGAACAGTGCTATGTTCATTTGCTGCTACTATACCGAGGAAGCTACAGACTACATGAGGGCCGAGTCACCGGATGGCCAGGAAACCCTTTTGATCAACACACCGACGTTGCATCTCCAAGGCCGTCAAGATTTTGTTCTTGAAGGGTCAAAGAAGATAGTTGCAACGCATTACTTGCCTCAAAATGCTGATGTGTTGGAATTCGACGGGCAGCACCACATTCCAAAAAGGAAGGATGATCTTGATGAGGCTGTCAGGCGTTTTCTCAACATGTACAAATATTAGAAACCCAGAGCAGTAGAAGGTTGGTCGGAGCAGATTTATATTAGAAACATCCATTCAATCTCCGACGACCGTCTTCCGCGTGGTGCTTAAAACACAATCCCATGTGGCCTTAATGGAACGGAATAGGTGAATGCAGACAGCTTCTACCTTCTGCAAGATCTGACGCTAGAGGCAGCGACTGTTTACGCAGCAGACGTGCCATGTAGCAGCGGCTAATGAGGATCTTCTCAGCGACAAACAAACGGAGGATCTCATACTGCCTTGGTAGTCAGACTTTGGTTTGCAGACCTATGCCCGTAGTTGGAGTGGAGACTAATCATTATTACGAGTGACGTAAGTATGGATTTGAGAAGACCGGTATTATTTTTTAAATAATGGCGTAGCTGATAAAATTACTAAAGATTCCCTTAAAATATAAAACTTTTTCTCTTTCAGAAATTAATAGGAATTAACGCAAAACCCCATAATAAAGTTACTATTTTTTGAACTAAACCGGTATAAATAGAATACATCCTTCTATAATATATAAAAAGACAAGCCAATATTATATATATATATATATTATATACTTTCTTCTAATACAAATTATTATACTATAAATGCATCTTATAGCTACTTATTCATTACTATACTGGCTTAAATAGAACCCACAGTATCTTTTATAAAAGGCTATAAGAATTAGAAGACTAAGCGAACTTATAACTTATAACTTAATAAACGCATGCCTTACCTTACCAAAATCGTTTATATATTACGCCTCCTCTCCCTATACCTCTATTACTACTTAAAATATTACTATCCCTTTAATTCTTATTTATATATATGAGAGAGAGGGGTGGGGGCTATAGGGGGCGTGGGGAGGGTGAGCGAGCAAGTTAAAAGTTAAAGGTTAAAAGTATAAAGTAAGCTTTAAGGTATGCAAGTTATAAAGAAAAGAAAGTCCTATAATTATAAGCTTCTTATTACTAAATTTTAGGGCGAGAGTCGCTAAATTATAGGCTATAAGTACTAAAAAAATTAGTACTTAACTTTTTTATAAGGTGCGGTATATATTTTTAGTAAGGTTCTCTCGTTTTGCCCTGTACTTCTTTCCTCTCATATTCCCTCTCTCCTACCCTATACTTATAGAGAGAGAAAGAAGAATTAAAGAGAGTAAATATTCTAAGTAATAGAGGCACAGGGAGAGGGGGCGTGGTGTGTGGGCTTTTGCGACATTTGGTGGGGTGTATACGTCTGTACCGAGTTATTAGTTATTAGTTATAAGTCGTAAGTTAAAAGTTCACTTGGTCTTTGGATTCTTATGGCCTTTTCGTAATCTTCTCCCTGAGACCACCCAGCCACGCGCCTCCGGTTAGTCTTTAATATATTAAAATCTGGGTCGAAATTCGACATTTTCTATAATAACTTCTATAATAAATAATAATTAAATTTTTATAATTTTATAGCGCGTAATACTATAGACTGGGTATTATTTGATATTATTCTTTTAGGGAAGTTAATTGTATTTGCTATTAAAGAAATTAATCGGGGGTTTGATTTTCAGGCTCGATTCGCTAACAAATTTGGCGGGTATATAGCGCAACTAAGCGGAGGCGCGTGCCAGCCCGAGCTCGTGCAGCAAAGTCTCCTGCTACTAATCTTCTAAAGATTCTAGTATAAAATTACAAGGTATATACTTCGTATATACACCTTATAATACAGTTCTTGAGAGTGGTTCTCTTCCGGGGTTCTTGCAGTAATCCTGAGTTAAGCATCGGTCCGAAAAGGGAAAAGTTTAGGGTAGATTTTTATACGGTTTTGGATTAAAAACGTGAAAGCGAGAGAACGAGAGAACGAGATTTGCAAAGGAACTTAAAAATTAGCTATATAAGTAAAGAACCTTAATATAAAATTTAATAACTTATATATTTATAAGATCTTTTAACTTAGAGTTTATAGGTTTACTTTAATTAATATAGAACTATATTATTAATTTAATTTAAATATTCTTTTAAAAACAAAAAGTTATTAAATAATTATTTTATAAAATTATAATTATTAAACTCTAAAACTATAAAAGTAATATAAAATAAGTAATTTTTATATTATAATTTTTATATTATAATTTTTATTAATAAGATTAGAAACTAATAATATAGAAATTTTAGTTTTATTAATAAAATTAGAAACCAATAATATAGAAATTTAATTTTAATAGAATTACTAGTTATATAAATAGTAAAGTCTAAAGATTAATGATTTTAGTAAAAAAAGAGTGTGCATTGACTCGTGTGCACTGACTCTTGTATACTGACTCCTGTGCACTGACTCGTTTGCACTGACCTTGGATCTCGGTTACCGCCTAAAATGCTACCTGCAGTCCGAGTTTTTCCTTCCCCCCAGCAGAATACGCACCCAAACTGGCGGCGAATTCTAGGCGCAGCTTTCCCCATTACAGTTCATGTGTGTGCGGCCATACAATATTTCCATCTTTAATTTATTCGTGGCTGCTTTTGTCTCTCCTGAGGTCTGCCGGATGCTACGAATACTGTTTCGACACAGATATTCCTCCCATCGTCACCAGCAAGAAACGCACAGCGACGCCACCGTAATCGAAACTTGTAGCTCAACCACTAGCATCCAAGACGATGGAGAAGCCCGCCAACTGCGCTTACGTATCCACTGCGACGCCAGAGAAAAGCGACCATACAGACATATCTTCCGAAGAGAATGGGAACACACGGGAGTTGGTGGAGGACGGTGACAAGCGGGAGTACCTTACCGGCGTCCGACTCTGGCTGGTGCTTGCCTCTGTCACTCTTGTCGCCTTCGTTATGCTGCTCGATATGTCCATCATCGTGACGGCAAGTTCTTAAAGTTTGCTATCAGCAGGTCTACGGCCTCTGACCCCGTGTGACCAGGCGATTCCTCAAATCACCAACGACTTCCACTCTCTTGACGACGTGGGGTGGTATGGCAGCGCGTTTCTCCTGGCTAAGTGCGTCCAGTTCACATATCCCGCAACCAACCCTTGTCTGTTTCCAATGTCCATTAACTAATTGTCGTTATATCTCATCAGCTGCGCCTTTCAACCTCTAGCAGGCCGATTATACACACTAATAAGTTCCAAGGTACGATCTTTTATCCTCTCGAGCGGACCGGCATTGCTGATGCAGTTCAGTCTACTTTTCTCGTCTTCCTCCTCGTCTTCGAGGTCGGATCCGTCGTGTGTGGCTCCGCCCAGTCATCCAAGGCCTTGATACTGGGACGAGCTGTGGCTGGCCTTGGAGGTTCTGGCATCATGAATGGTGCCCTAACCATCATCTCTGCCAGTTCCCCCTTGGAAAAGCAACCGCGTACGTCTCTCGCCCCCTTTTACGTGTTCGTATTCTATCAGTCAGCTGACATGATTTACAGTCATGGTAGGGATCATGATGGGATGTAAGTAATCACAAAGACAGTGAACGTTAACGATTCCGTCTTTGACATGCATCAGTGAGCCAGATGGGCATCGTATGTGGACCGCTCTTTGGAGGCGCTTTCACACAACGTGTAAGTTGGCGATGGTGTACGTATCGTCCGGGTAGTCGTCGGCTTGATTATTCTGATAATCTAGTTAGGCTTCTACATCAACATTCCCATTGGTGCTATTGCAGCCATTCTCCTCCTCGCCATTTATATCCCCGACCATCGTTCCCCCGAGGCCACGTCCAGTCAAACGAGCATTAAAACGATATTTTCCAAACTCGACCTGACTGGCTTCGTCTTCTTCGCAGGTTTCGCCATCATGATCGAGCTAGCACTCTCGCGGGGAGCATCCGACTACGCCTGGAACAGCCCCACCGTGATCGGCCTATTTTGCGGTGGTGGCATTTCCTTGATCGTGTTTATGGCCTGGGAGCACCGTGTTGGTGACGGCGCCATGATCCCAGCTTCTGTTGTTCGCAGGCGCGAAGTCTGGAGCGCTTCCCTGTACCTTGGCTTCTTCTCCGGAGCATTACTCTGCTTCTCGTACTACATGCCCATCTACTTCCAAGCTGTCAAGGGAGCACCTGCCCTGATGAGTGGAGTGTATATGCTCTCCGGCATTCTGCCTCAGCTTTTTATGGCAATCATGTCCGGCGTACTGAGTAAGTATTTAATAGGATCCACTGACAGCACAATTTTGATGACTAACATCCACAGTTGGAAAAACGGGCTACTATCTACCGTGGGCATTAGCCAGTGCTGTGGTTATGCTTGTTGGTGCCGGCTTAATGACAACCATAACGGTGAAAGCGACGGTGGCCCAGTGGGTCATGTATCAGTTTGTCGCCGGATTGGGTCGAGGCTGTGGCATGCAAACAGTGAGACCCCTCCTTTTACCTTTAAATACCATAAAAGCTACCTACTAATACTCTCACCTAACTAGCCTGTCATTGCGATTCAGAACACGCTCACAGTTGAGCAAGTCCCACTTGGAATATCACTGGTCATCTTCATACAGACCTTTGGTGGGTCACTCGCGCTGACAATTGCGCAACTCGTTTTCGATAGGTGCCTAGAGGCAGCTATTCCCAAGTATGCCCCTACAGCAAATGTGAGCGCAATAGTCCACGCTGGCGCGACTGCGTTTCCCTCAGTTGTCACACCTGCAGAGCTCCCTGGTGTTTTGAGTGCATACGCCTATGCCGTGGACAAGGTTTTCTACGTTGCGCTAGGGGCTTCGGCATCGACCTTCCTCTTCGCCTGGGGCATGGGTTGGCGTAGGATTCAGCAAAAGAAGGTCAATGATTCAGGAACCTCAGACTAAACCACATCCAAGTACATTGCCCGTGGAAGACTGACAGGGGTCAATAGATAGGTGAAAATATCAAGGCAAGGTTGGTAGATTCCTCCAAAAAAAAAATTGCCATAGGGAGGAGGGTAGGGTGGTGAATGGTCGGCATTGCCCTCTGCCCCCATTCGGTATTAAATATCTAATTACTCTATATACACTCGTAGGACTCAAGCTTCTAAAAGACATCTTATACTTGGGAAACGACAGAATCCTCGTTGCCCGGCGATTGTTATACAGCCATGTTCAGTGATTTTTCCTGCTAAGTTCTGCTCGTTTGTGGGGATAATATTTGGGACAAGAACATGAAAGCATGCTGTCTGGTCAAACGGAGAATCTCTGCGTGATGCCGCTGGAAGTTCTGGAGAATGGTGATATACCCAGAACCACTGCTTACTCCTTCCCACATTACACCGAGGAACCGAGCCGCCTGTGTAAACCCCGTTGTATCCCCTCTCCTGTTTGATTGCAAGAGTTTGTTCCCGTCGCCAGCAATCGAAGCAGTCGATATTTCTCTCACCATAATGCCGCTTCCCTGAGGCACACCAAGCTCTACCTCAATTTTGCACAGAATACCGACCCCTGTGTGCAGTGTTGTGCAGGCCGACACCAACGAGCTGGCGAGCGGATTTAGTTGGGAGAACGACTCACCCACCAAGCAGTCGGCCTCCAGCCCATTGCCGGAAATATTGCCTCCGGGCAGCTGCCACACTGCGTTTTGCGACGCTTGGACGGACATTTCCTGGCACAAATTATCTGCCAGCGCCTCCATGATTTTGATGCATACTGTGTAGCAATGCGAAGCCAGAAGGATGGTTCTTGTCTGCTGACAGCCCTCCAGCACGGTGGGCTTTCCACGAGGTGTCTGGACTTGGAGGGTCATCAGGAAATTCTGGAAAGTGCCAAATACCTTGCCAACGGGATCTATTATTTCTAATGAATTAGACATGGCCAAGTCATGCATGGATATGGGAAACGCAGGGCGCGCTTACAGTTTTGGATATCTTTATGATGCCACTGGTTGGCCAGGAAGTGAATATAGTCCTCCAAAGTCTTGGATATGCTAGATAGGCGCTCGAAAACGTCTTGGTGCTGACAAGCCGTTGAAGCGGGTTCTCCCTCTGTCGAGAGTGAGGTCAAGGTGGTCTGTGGGTGGTACGATGTTGGATCCTCAAGGTCATTGAATCTTCCTAAAGGACTTTCCATAAAGCCTTGCCAGGACCAGTCCGGTAAGGAATCAATGTCTCCTTCATCAAATGTGCTCAACAACCCAAGTGATAGCATGTCTAATGAAATATCATGGCCGGTTGCCACCAGCGGTTGATGTGACTGAATTTCTTCTTCTTGTGTAACAGGAGACGCTATAGAGGATGCACTGTCTTGCCTCCTTGTTGTCTGCCTTGGATTCCTGCGACTGTATACACATTTGTGCCTAGCCCGCTCGCAACGCTGGCATTGTGCGGGAGACCTCGTACTCCTGGGGCATTTGAGCTTCTGGATGTGGCAACGGTCGCATGATCTGCGGAAGGCTTGTATAGAATTCTTGTTGGTAGCGTAGTCGGTCGTGTCCGAGACTTGTCGCTGAGGGTTTTCGCAGATGTCCATGGTTGCAGTTGAGCACGGATGAGGGCTGTTTATGCTTGGAGTTTGGAAGAGATCTTCACGTGGAACATATGGATCTCGGTTATAAGGAAAATCGATGTTGGTAAGTCTGTGATTTATGTGAGAACCATTCAAGTCTGATTCTCTGCACTGAGACTCTCGGTTCACCAGCCGCCTACCCGAACCACTGCGGCCAGCTTTACTTCATGATTCATGATTCATGAATCATGATCAATGATACGCACCAAATCCCAGCAAATCAGAACGTTTAACGCGGAATATTCACTCTCTGATTTGCTCAGGGTTACACACTTAGAAGTGCATGGCCCAGTGCAAAACTAACCGCAGCGCAACTGATAGGTCTGAGCAAATGAAATATTCTTAATTCATAGCGAATATAAGCTAAGAGCACGGAACGAATGCGAACATTTCGCCGCTGTCCCGTGCTAATCTCCTACCAAAAAACGTAAGATCTTACTAAAAGCACTACTTATACGAACTATCCAATCGAATCGATTCCGCCACCTATTTAACTTAAAGGCGGTGTACTATCCCTTCGTTCCGTGAGACATGGTCCGTATAGCAAGGGGGCCTGGCTCAGGGCAAAAGGCAACGGATAACTAATAAGTTTATAAGCAAAGGCACGCTTTTACAGTCTGAGCCAGGCCTCCTTGTTAATACGGACCATGTCTCACCGGAGGAAGGGATAGTCCGACCTGGCGTGCTTGAACGTTGCTTACTTGGGTAAAGCTACGGGGAAGTGGGAAGTGGGAATTGATCGTCGTTCGGGCCGGTCCCGCTTTGCCACCAGGGTTGCATCTCAGGTACCACTTTTCAGGCCACTTTAATCGTGAATGAGTCGCAACATAATTATGCTAAGACAAAATCCTCCTAAGAAACAGCGAAAGACTTTCTGAATTGCAAACATTTGAAGTTGATTCAAAATTTTATAGAGGTTTAGTTGAACTACATAAGGTGGATCTTAGCAGGGTGCAAGCCTGGTGGCAGCGAGAACAGATAACGGTGTGTCAGCACTTGCACCATAACCTCCGCGTCCCTGCGGGTTTAGTGCATGTCAGCGATACGGTGTTATTACAGCGATACGGTCGGTTTTGAAATAACTGCCGCAACACGAAATTAAATAATTAATAAACTATAAGAAGCTAAAGGATGTGTAATAACTAGGCCTTCCGTACCTCTATATAAACTTTTATTTAAGATCCTGTATTACGTTATAAAGCTATTAAAAACTATGGATGTTTTTTGTCGGGGGGAAATGACGACCTTATCGCTGATTTTCGACCGTATCGCTGGCCTGCACCAGTATACCGGGGGTCCATGTTAGTGTGAGCGTGGCCGCATGGTCAGGGAGTAATCAAGGTTCGTTCAGCGCAAGCTTAAGCTAATACAGGCGGCCCTACTGAGGCCATTAGCGGGCTAGCGGACAAATCCGAGAAGCGAAAAGTGATTTTCTGATTTTCTGATTTTCGCGCCCACACCTCACTAAAAAAAAAGTATAGTATATACGCCTTATTCTCGACTACTCCTAACCCCCCCCTTAGCTTGCGTGGTCCGTAAGGCAAATCCCATGGATTACGAGGCATATCTCTATCTCCCTTACTCTCTGTATCCTCCGTACTACCTATATTACTCGAATTATCTATATCTCCTTTATTCCCTTCTCCTCTAGTATTCTTATCCTTCTCTGCTATAACCTCCTTCCCTATTGCCTTCTGACCTTATATCTGTCTTTATACTCGCTTTCTATATCTTATAGGCAGTCGAGGCTTTAGTATAAAGAGTTTTACAGATACGGAGCGAGGCTTTCCAGACTTGGTAGGATTAGCATTGAGTTAATGGAAAGTATAGACTTTACCGTTATTATTATATCTATAATTTATATAAGTACTATTAAATTTGCCTTCTATAACTATATAGTATTTAAAAGGGCCTCTCGGTCTCTTCTTATTACTATAAGTAGTATAAGCTTGAGAGGATTCGGTTCTACGAGTATATACTAAGCTTGCCTCTAGATTTGCCTTACCTTTCTCTAATCTTTTTAGCTCCCTGCCCTAGTATAGCTCTATCTCTCTAACTTTAGCCTTATTATTAATTCGCTTTATTACTTTAGTAGTATTATCGGATAGTATAAGAAGATTAAAGTATTATTATAAAGGAGGAGAAGGAGGTTATATATAAGGAGGAGGTTAAGGAGTAAAGGAATTTATTAGTTAAATATATTAATGGGAGAGGATATTATAGACTGAGTCTGGATTATTAGAGAATATATTATAAATATTATCTTTTTGCTTATTTATAGCTTTATTGCCTTTTCTATTGCTTTTGCCTTTACTAGAGCTATTACCTAAAGCTATATTTAATATATCTTTAATAAAGAAAAGCTTTAATAATAGTATTATATATTGGAATTAAAGTTATTTTCGAAAAAAGGTTAAGGTTAAGGTTAAGACTAAAATTAAAGCTAGTATAGCTATATTTTTATTATTTATTTTTAGAATATAAAGATATATATTTAATATAATTATTTAAATCCGAATAAATTTATAATAAATAATACCTAAAAATGGAAATATTAGTATTTAATAGCCCTAGATTAAGTATATTTAAATATTAAAAAAATTATAATTTTAGGTATTATAGTTATAAAGATAAAGATATAAATATTTTTTCTTTTATTAACTCGTAAAAGCTAAGGCATACTAATAATAATTAAATTATATTTAACTTATATGGTTAGCTAATTTACTTTACTAATTATAAATAATTCGAGGTAATTTAAATCTCCTTAAATCTCTATATATAGCTTATTATATAAACTTCTATATCTTTATATTTAGTAATACTATAATTATAATTTTTAAATAAAAAGAATTCCCTTATTCTAGTATATATAATTATATTTATTTCTTATTTTTCAAATATATAATTATTAAATTAGAGAGGCTTAAGAATTCTAAATAATACTTTCTCCTAAGAGGTATATATCCTTAATAAATAGTAAAAGTAAATATAAAATTATATAATAATATAATTATCCCGTACTAGTAACTTTATTTTCTATAAAACTATAACTTTATTTTATCTTTACTCTAAAACCTCTATTTTTCTTCTATATTTTTTTGACTTTACTATTAATACTAAGAGCTTTTACCCTCTACTAATACCTTTTCTATTAATACCTTTATTAATACCTTTATTAATACCTTTATTAATACCTTTATTAATACTAAGAGCTAATATCTAACTACCTTATAACCTTTTTCTTTTTTTTCTTATCTTTCCTTATTTCTTTTCTAAACTTCTCTTCCGAACTTCTTTTTTAAACCCTTTCTTTTTTAATACTTCTTTTATTAATACTAAGAGCTAGTATCTAACTATCTTATAACCTTCCTCTCTTTCTCTAAACCTCTCCAAATTCTTCTTTTGAATTCCTCCTTTTTTAATACTTCTACTAATAATACTAAAAGCTGGTACCTAATTACTATTTCCGGATTACTTTTATCTAGAACTCCTATACTATAAGTCTTTAATTTACTTGCTTCTTAGAAAGCTAAATTTTAGATCCCTTCTTCTTTTCTCTAATATTTCTTTCTTTTTTTTTCTAATATTTCTTATATTTTTGGGCTCTTTGGAAATATCCTCTCTCGAATTTCTAAAAA